CTATATAAATATAATTAACGTCACTTAAGACAGGCGCGGATCCAAGGGGGGGGGGGGCAAGGGGCAAGGGGCCAGGAGACTCTGGTGAATTTTCTATTATATCTATTTTCGGCATACGATAAAATGCATCTGTTTTGCCGATAGCGTTACCGCCGTGTCCATTTTTATCGGCCGCCGTCAAAAAGCTAATCTAATAATCTAATCGAATATTTAAACTTGTTTGATGCAATAAAATGTCTGGCTGCTTGTAGTACCTATCTATTTTATTATGGACGATTTTTATTGTGTATTGATAATTTGTTATAGTTGACATATTGGTGCGATACAATACGCACATAGTCGCTGTAACTGTCGATAATCAACATCAAACGTGACACGTGTATAATTGTATTGTTATTTTATTAAAATGTCAAAGCGTAGTGCCGATTTTATGCAAAATTTTCTTAAAAAAAAATGTTTCATTGAAGACAATGAAATGGTAGACGACCCAGATCCCATTTCGTCAAATCAACCAATGAAAAATGTAGGCATAGATCCAACATTAAATCAAAACAAAGGTACTGTAGAAAATATAATTATAGATATAGGGATCGTATTAAGTTCAAAATCAACAATTGATGATTTTACTAAAAAACAGTTACTTTAAAACCATTGGAAACCACCAATAGGTTACAATTTTCCTTATTCAAGCCACACAAAAAATGGAGTTCTTCGTAAACGATTTTTGAAACATGGACATATAAATAAATATTTCTGGCTTGTTCTTTTGCCTTCAGAAAGTGGATTATTTTGTATTTACTGTTCTATTTTTCACAATAAAACTGGTCATCGATTTAATAACCTTACTCCATTAAAGTAGTTTTTAGTATTTAGTAGTTGAACCTTTAAAGAAATTCGCTAAGTTATTGGGAAAGGATGGTTACCTCGAAACGCATGATAATAATTATAATTTGTACCATAAAAATTGTGTACTGAACGGAAAACAATTTTTAAAATCGTATAATAATCCAGAGCTAGAAGTAGTAAACCAAATAAATTCACAGCGCATAAAACAAGTTCAAGAAAATAGATCTAGACTAAAACCTATAGTTGAAAGTTTGATTTTTCTCGGGCGGCAAAATATTGCTTTACGTGGTCATCGCGATGATGGAAGCGTTAATGATCTATCTGATAACCCATTAGAGAACGAAGGAAATTTTAGAGAGCTTATAAAGTTTAAGATATTATCTGGAGATATCGCATTAGAAAATCATTTAAAAAATGCTGAAGCAACAGCTACTTATATCAGTAAAACGACTCAAAATATTCTTATTTCGATAATTGGAAATATAATTTTAAAAAATGTATTGAACAAAGTAAATAAAGCAAAATATTTTAGCGTAATTTTCGATGAAACAACTGATATATCTAAAACTTCACAACTGGTTATAGTTTTACGATACGTATACGACAAAACTATAAATGAAGATTTTATTAGATTTATAGACTGTCATAAAAATAACTACGATAAATCTAGGGTCAATACTGAACCAAAAATGACCGGAAAAATAATAGGAAAAACTGTTATACATGTTTTAGAAAATTTAGGATTACCTATGAATAATTGTATAGGAATAACTACAGATGGGTGTTCTGTGATGCAATCTGAAAAATGCGGTGCAATTAAATTATTACAATCTCAAATGAAATTTGCTATAAAATGTTCATGTTTTAGTCATGCTCTAAATTTGTCAATAATAAAAGATTGTAAACAAACATTTGTTAGAAATGCATTTGGAATTATTAAAGAAGTAGTAAGTTTTTTCAATACTTCAGCAAAAAAAAATTTTGTTTTAAAAAATATTTTAAATAGTTCATTAAAGTCTTTATGTGAAACTAGGTGGGTCGAAAAACATGATTCCATTATGCAGTTTTCTTCGAATTTGGTTTTAATTATTGAAGCATTAGATAAAATATCTGAATGAGACGATCTTGAAACGTCCTCAAAAGCGTCGATTCTAATAAAATCATTGTCAAGTGCGGAATTTATTTTAACATTAAATCTTATGTCCGATATATTTTCAATAACTGCACCAATAAGTAGAATGTTGCAATCAAAAAGTCTAGATAAATTTTCGGCTTCTAAATTAATAAATAATGTACTTATTGTTTTAAAAGAAAAACGGAAAAACAGTGCTGAAAATTTTAATTTAATTTTTAATAATAGTATACAATGTTTGGAAAAAATAGGAATTGATGACGATATTAAAATCCCAAGAATAACAAAACAAATGACTAAAAGAGCTAATCCACCAACTAAAAAACCAGAAGATTATTTTCGTATCGTTTTGTTTATTCCATTTTTAGATGACTTAATTACCGACCTTGAGTACAGATTTGATGAAAAATCAGTGTCAGTGCTTGATTTAGATATAATTTTACCAACTTTTATTCATAATAAAGAAGTTTTTAACAACCAAAAAGAAATCCAAAATAAAATTAACAAAATGATGGCACAATTTTGTGAATTAATATCTATAAATTTGAACTTATCGGAAGACCTCGTGAAAAAATATTTTGAAGGAGAGATTCAATTATGGCATACATATTGGACAAATGAAAAAGAAATTCCAAAAACATCATTAGAAGCTTTTGAAAGATGTGATTCCGAAACCTTTCCAATTATTTATAATTTTTTTCTTATACTCTTAACATTACCGGCCACTTCAGCAACTGCGGAACGAAATTTTTCTTCTCTTCGCCGACTAAAAACTTGGATGCGATCAAGAATATCCGAAGAGCGCTTAAATGGACTTGCATTACTTAATTGTCATAGAAATATTAGTGTTGACTGTGAAGAAGTAATTGACGAATTTGCCAAATCTAAAAGACGAATGGATTTTGTTCTGTGATCATTTTTTAATATTTATTATATTTTATTATTAATTATTATTTATTTTATATTACCTACGTATCATTATTAATTAAACCATTTAAATAACTTATCTAATTATTGTACTGATAAACTGGAATTAAATATTAATATTTACCTATTAGCTTAAATAGTATGAACAATGTTTTTATCAGACTTAAAGGCTGAAATTTTATTTAAGATGCCCCCCCCCCCCGTAAATAAGTTCTAGATCCGCGCCTGACTTACGAGTTGTTTTTTGGATTTATGAATCTGGAGATTAAAGTCTGCAGCAGTCTCCGTGTTGGCATATTGTATGTACCTCCCTGTTAGATATATCATTTAACCGGATTTATTTTTTTTGCTTCTTGAAATGCATTTTTATGTGGGCGTACGTGTTCCTCTCCTAATTTTTTCATTAAATTAACATTTAATTGATATTTTTGTTTCGCTTTTTAAAATACGTTTGCTTGCTAGCACCCATGTTAACCTTCCAATTTTTTTTTTTATCAATTTAACTCTCAATCGATATTTTAATATGAACAGTTTTAAACTTAGAAACACTATCTCGAGGTAACTTCTGAATAGCCGTTCTTTAAAGAGCTATACACTGTTTCAGAAGAGCATAAACCAGATTTACATAAGAAAACCGGTTTTGCCCGTGGCCGCCTGGTATGTTCTCTTTTGAAACAGGGTATAATTATTATGACTTATGGGTAGTTTTTAGAGTGTATGAATCTAGAGATTATAGTCTACAGTCTCTGTTGTATGATTTAACTATTAAATATAATGAATATTTTTGTAACAATTGGTCGCGACACTTAGAAAAAAATGTTGTTATTCATCCATCCAAATGTTGTTGTAATGGTCATTGATGTTCAATCTTGATGTCATTCATTAAATTTTATTTAGTAAAGGAATTTTTAAAATATTACACAAAGAAAATTCAGCTTATTTTTTAAATATTTAGATCATTTGTTTGTTAGATACAACAAATATAGGTATTTGCTGTACTAAATGTTAACTTAATCTAATACAAAGATTTTTTTATTCCTTTCAAATTATATCACTCACTAATATTATAATTTATTACAAAAATAGTCTGACTCCTCTGTAACCTAAACTAATTAACTGATTGACCTGAAGTTTGTATTTTTATTTTTTGCAATGCATTTGTCCGCGGGCGTCCATGTTCCCTTGTTAATTTTAGATTTTGAACGGAGCTATCAATTATATTGATTTTTCAAAGTTGTGTTGTTTTTTTTTTATGTTTGTATTTACCTATAGGGGCAAGAAAATGCTTCAATTTTCTTTAACATCACCTTTTCTGGTAGTAAAGTGAATCTAGTTGGTACTTGGGGGTCAAATTTTGATTTTTAGTGTAACTCTAAAAAAAATAACCGTATATAGATGACCTTTTCACTGAATGTTTATATGAGCAATATTTCTATGCACCAAAATATTTTCGAAGTATTCCATATCTTTTTGAACTATTTATTTATGAAAGAATAATTCGAGTTTTATTTGCTTTTTTAAAATTATTATCGATACAAAATTTTTCGCTCAATCTACAAACTTTAAAATGTAAGTATAATTTGTTCTAAATACATATTTTACTTATTTTTTTCATATTTGTATGCATCACCTACGATAAAGATAATACTATCTACACCGTGGCATCACCTTTGTCACAATAAAAAATTCATATCATTTTTCATAGCAATAAAAAAAACTAGAATTTTTACACAAAGTCGATTTTGTTTATTTGGTACGCCTCCTTAAAAACAAATAATGATAATGGTACTTGAAATGTTTACTAAAGGTTTTTGGTTTTCATGAAAATATTTAATACATGGTATAATTTCCAAAATATTTCGATTTTCTTTTGTTCTATATTATATATGTCTATACAATTTTTCATTCAGTCAAAAAGCTTGAAAATTGTATACAAGGTTCCTCATAAGTTGTTATTAGTGGAATATAAAAAAAAAAATTGAACCTTAATTCGACTTTTCAATGATAAGGTACACTCATCACTACTATACATTAGAGCAAATCTCCCATTTTTCTTTTTTATTGGAGTACATTTTTTTTTAATGATAAATATTAGTTAAAATTTTAGGAATTTGGTTTATTTTAATACACAGTAAATAATATTATACATTTGGTTAAAATAACTACTTGATTTTCAAAATATCTTCATCAAGTAAGCACAAGAATAAATTTAAGTGGTACTCGAGAACTTAAAATACCATTTTTAATTCATTTTATTTCTGTTTCTAGAATTATGTACTTTAAGTTTCAAGTTTCAAAATCACAATAAATAGTTTTGGAAAAATACTTCACACTTTATAAAATTACAAAATAATTTACTCGTCAACAAATAGTCTTTATAAAATATACAAACTGCAATACGTTAATTTTGTAAATAATTTAAAAATTAAATTAATATTTGGATATATTCATTAACAGTTTTGATTTTTTAAATTATTGATAGTGAACAAATAGTTATTTCAGTCCATATAAACTTAAAGTGAAATGAAATTTAAAAATCTAAGTTGAAATCATACTACAGTATACCTATATAAATATTTCATACATTTAGTATTTATAATCCTAGTATCTTACCTATGATATAGCAGTCATGTTTATTATTTTGTACAATACACATTTTTTGAACATTGTAGATAATTTACTATGATGCAAATTATTTTTGAAGGTAATGAAATTCTAATTTTCTCTTTTTGTAAACAGTATTTGAGTTTTGAGCAAGAAAATAAGAAAAAAATACTAAAAATAATGATTTAACTATTACTATTACTGTTGATAATTGTACAGTAGATTACAATAAAAATAAGACTTAGTCACAAGACAGGAGAATATAACCATTCCCTTTATACAAATTATACAAAATAATATTCAAGCTTTAAATTAAACTTTAAGTATCACTTTTCCATAGTTTTATTGTCTTGTCATTTTCTAAGGCTGCTGAAGCAATTATATTTGCTGTTGGATGGCATGAAGTACACAAAACTACATCTGAAAACCAATTTTAAACAAGTTAGATGGTGTTTACGGGTTCTATACTTAAATGTTTGTTGTACCCTCCCCGACTACAGCAGAGGCTTGTATGTCTTTCATCAATTACTAATAAACTGTACTGCTCACCTTCTCTCTCTCTCTTTCATAAATTTAAATTAAAAATACCTTTTTTTCTGTTGGTTTCTGTCTTACAAGGCGTAACAAACCAAATTTATGCTCAGCACTTCACTTATAGCTTTTTGTTAGTTTAAAAATTAGAGAGAAACAAACTATCACTATATAAATATTATGAAACTAAATGGTAAGAACTATAGACGTGAGTCAAACTCAAAAATTTGGTCTGGAATAGACCTTTTATAGCATTTTTTTAAAATCAAATAATTCAGCATGATGTTAAACTTTAATTGTACAATTTGTTCAACATTGAACCAAACCTTTTATTTAGTACCAAACTGCAGGTTAAGCTTGACTATTTTTGTTTTTGTCAATAAGACTTAAGATGCAACATTTTTGAATCTAGGTTATTTACCTTATTGAAAATAAATATCTTCTTTGTTAGCTACATTTTTTTTTAGAGTAGAGAAAATCAAAAATTGTTTAATTTTATATTCTAAGATAACAAATGCTGAGATATGTAGTATTATGCCTAAGTTTAAAAAGTATTATGGCAAAAACTATAACTTGAATATGAATTTTAAATAAGTTTACCTGTATGACCTTGTAATTTCTGTACAATTTCTTTTGATTGTAAATTCCAAATATATACCATATTGTCTTCAGATCCAGAAACTATCCACTAAAATTATATAAACAAACATAATAAGCATATACTTAATGTTTAATGTATGCATGTAACACTTGCCTTTCCACCTGTCACAGAAAAATTTGCAAATATACAGTATTTCTCATTTTTATGGCCAACATAAGTTTTTAAACATTTTCCTTTTGTATAATCCCATAATTTTAGTGTATTATCAAGAGTAGCCGCCAAGATGTACTTTCCATTAGGAGAGAATTTTACAAATGAAACTGGTGGATTGTCATCGTCAATAAGTGTTTTTAAACATTGACCGCTGGCAGTATCCCAAATCCGACTTAAGTAAAAACAAAACATATAAATTTATAAAACGCATAAAAATGAACAAGGGAATTTTTTTTTTAATATTACCATAAACCATCGTAACTACTAGAAACCACAAGGGATCCATCTCTATTAAAATGAACGGCACTAACTGGATCAGAATGCGCAGGAAGTGTTTTCAGACACTTACCACTTTTTACTTCCCAAATTCGTACACTTTCATCAAACTAGAGAAATCATCAAATTATATAAAACAAAGTGTTTAAAAATAGATTTTTTACTGTTACTAAATATTTAAACTTACAGAACCAGAAGCTATTAGATTTGATTGTGGATTAAAATTGCAACAAAAAACATAGTTACTATGGCCTTTAAGTGTCTTGACACATTTTGACTAAAAAATAAAATAATCAAGTGGTTTATTGATTGAATTAAATACATTTTAAATTTGTTAAGCCTTTTCAACAATTCAATTCTAATAATTTATAATTTAACTATCAAATATAATCCATATTTCTGTCACAATTAGTCGCGACACTTAATAAAAAAGGTTATCATTCATCCATCCAAATGTCTTTGTAACGCTCATTGATGTTCAATTTTGTTGTCAATCTATATATTTTATTTAGTTGTAGAATTTTTAAAATATTAAACAAAGGAAATTGTTTTTTAAACATTTAGATAATTTTTTTGTTAGATATAACAAATACTAAACTAAATCTAATAGAAAGATTTTTTTATTCCCTTCAAATTATATCACTCACTACCATTGCAATTTATATTAAAATTCCGACCTCTTTGTAGCCTATGCTAATTAACTGAATGACTTGACATTCACATGGGTTATTCAGTGTGCTATGTGATGATACTTTAATAAATTTCAAGTTGATTGGAGAGTTACAGCCTGAGTAATATGCAAAAGTATTTGCATAGTTATTAAAAAAAACTCAATTTTTTTACAATAATTCAACAATGTATATATTGAAAGCAGCGTTGCATATTTCCTCTTCCGACTATCGGACTATGCAAAATTGTTGCTGCACATTGGTTGCAATCACTATATGAACAGTGCGTGATATTGGGGATAATAATAATATTTTGACTCATTGTGTACATCACAATATTTGAACGATGAACATGAGTCTACACTGTACATACATATTTTATTTTATCGCATTACAGTATCAAAGTTATGCTTTGTTGTCTGTGGCCTGTGAGTTGCTGTGACACACAAACAACAAAGATATTTCATCACCGCTATCTTTTACTCGATAAAAAGAAACAGGTTAACAATATCAAAAATTGTAATAAAAAAATTAGTGATATCTCAATAAAAATACTCTGTCAATTACATATAAAAACCTTTCTAGGTATAAAAAAACAAACTCAGGTTAGAAAAGTTGGGATGTAAAAATGAGGCTAAGTAATTTCTAAATTAATTAGTATAGAAATTGTTTATGATTGCTTGTATTTGATGAAGTGCGATAATTGAATACAAATAATTAACTTAACTAGGCAGTTACTGATATTTACGACTACAACTAAAGGTATAATGCCAACATGAATATTTATATGTCCATTGTATATTGTTTTAGGCCAAGCTCAGTTAAACTATCATACTTTATCTTTTATCATAGCAAGGTTTTTACAAGTAGTTGACAGAGTGTTTGTGTTGGGATGGATAACCAAACATTAAGTTGTCTCTGTCAATTAACAATTCAGCAAATTTGGATTCAGCAGAACCAATATTGGGTTGTTAGCTGTAATATTAGAGTAAATTAACCTAATATAAATTATAAAGTTAAAAATATTTTGTGTATTTGTACTTAAACCTTTTTATAATACTTGCAAAGAAATTGATATATTGTAAAAAATCCAACACACAAAAACGGATAATTTACTTAAATTTAAGTTTTATAATAAGTCAGATCACTTTAATATGGACAACACAAAATTGGTTCTGCTGAATTAAACACAATTAGTTATTTTGTGTGTTTGCTAGAAGGATACAACACATGCAGGTTTGATGTTTTCTAAAAAATAAATAAAAGTGAAACATCTTATACTATTTATGATTAGGTTAGTAAGTTAAACAATTATTATGAAATAAATTCTTACCGAACTTAATTCCCAAACTTTTAATGTCTTATCATCGGATGCAGATACTAAAAGACGACTATCTGATGACCAACTGACGTCACTGATTCCTAACTTGTGTCCAGCAATAGACTTTTCAAACTTGCCATCATAAGCACCCCAAATTTTAATCAATTTATCAGCAGCTATAATTAATAATTAAAATATTGAATTGTTGTAATATTTTTACATAATCAAAATTATTAAATACACAAACTATAATTAAAAATGTGTTCATTAGAATACAATGCAAAAATATTCATTGTGAAACCAAATATATTTTACATAGGTAATTTAAAAAAGACAATAATTTATTGAAGAGTAAGATTTTGGTGACTTGTCTATTATCAGTCCGTTACAAAATTATACTCCCGCTAATTTTTAAGTTCTTTTATACTATTTACACATTATAAACAAACTATACTGCATTGTTTATTTTACCATTTGATTGATCCCAACTTGCATCGGTGAAAAAAATTGCATGTATTATTATTTGTCTTTAAGTCAGAGTTTTATTTTCCATGTTAATAATGACAATATCGGAGGTATGTAATTTATTAATATCGGAATAAGTTAATACATTTAATTATAGTACATTTTGTCTATAAAATATAAAAGTGGCTCCTATAATATTATGTTAATCTATTAGCAATCATAATATAGAATTATAATGAATCTTAAAGAGGTGAATGTACTATAATTGAAAATCTGCAATCGAGTTCTTTTTAACACCAAATAATTTTACATTCATATAATGATTATTATTTATAGTTTGTTAATAATGTGAACATAAAACATATTATTATGTATAAGGCGTTGTAGAGCATTTAAGTCGAATCTTAGTTACTAATGTGGACAATTGAATACGGAACACAGATTTAAACATCAATATATTACAAACTCAAATATAAAATGGAAGAAAGCAACTCACATGAGCTCGCAAGCCATTCACCATTAGGACTGAACTTCACTGATGATACAGCTTTAGTGTGACCAGCCAATGTAAATTTCAATGAGTAATTTGGTTTCTAAAATGTTAACATTTCTTTAAAACTTTTTGAACATAAAAGTCGTGGGAAAACACTATTACCACATTGCTGGAGGATTTTTCTCGATCCCTGGCCGGCTGCATACTTTGGCCTAGTGAGGGAGGGCACTGGGAACGTAGGGCCGCTCACAATTAATTATAGGTAAGTTCGAAGAGTCGATCCTGATCCAAGAATTCGGGTAATAAACTAATAAAATCCCTATGTCCACTGACCACAGGTATTATTTTTGGTATTATCTAAAAGCCGAATTCACTGTAGACGGTAGACACATCTAACAGTTGTGGGCCAGTATATAACTACAGTATTATACCATTAGTCGGGTTTTGGTTAGGTTTCGTGTTTGTTTACATCCGTAGGACCTATTAACACCGAGCTTTGATCACTGCCGTCCAATCGTTGCAGCTCGTAGGCATTCTTCCCCGATGAAGTGTCAGCATCGTCCTTGGAACAAAAGCGAACAAACCGTTCGTTCCATACTTCCATGATAAATATTTATTTTTATCAGTTTATCAATTGTGTATTTTTAAACTTTAAATTACGATATTGTGTTTTTTAATAACTTATTAACTATTTTAATTATGATTAATATAATAAAATATAATATTATAATTTATAATGAAAATAATATTATAATTTATAATGAAAATAATGTTATCGGTTTATCAATGTTATCACATTTTGATAACTGCAAAAAAGGGGCTAAATGTAGGCAATATTATAAATAGACACAAAAATTTTTTCCTGCGAAGATCCATTCGTTTATCGTAAGCTCTAATCACAGATATATAAACATTAAACATTCATATATATCTGTGGCTCTAATATTCATCTACTTTTTACATAGACAATAAAGATATGGATATTTATTATCTATACATTTTTACGAGCAGTAATCACCACGGACTAAGATATCTTAGCACAGAATCCTGTGATCTTAGTCCGTGGTAATCACTGAACTAAATATTTAGTTTAGTGGCTAAATTGCTAAAATATTCAAGTACGCCAAGTACCATACGGCATACATAGACATAGATTTATGTCATCTTTATGTTATCTATATATTAAACCGTGGGTTATTGAATATTAACTATAAACTTTGACATAGAGTCTATAAATAACTCGGAAACCAAATAAAACTTATTTAATAATTCATAGGAAAAAATTGTTATGATGTTTTAAATTTAAAAAAATTATTATCTGTTGACTATTAAAGATAACAGTCTGTATACGCTGTGTAATGCATTTTAAGTTTGCATTTTGGTAACCATTGACGGATTGACGCCATTAAGTGTTAATCAGGCATGGGCCATTTGAATGATTTATTATTTATAAATTATTGTCATTGCAATAATGGTTTTTTTCCCTCTGGAATTTTGCCGTACGATTTTACGGCTTATCGTAATATCATTTGACAATAAGTACCGACCTGCTCACTGTTCATGGTTGTGTAAAAGTAAGTTTTATATTTTCTAAAATTTAAGTGTAAAACTTTTAAGAGACAAGTGTGTAAAATGTATAACCCGTAGGTACTTTGTAACTTGACCACTAGTGTTCGTTTTAATTTTGAAATTCTTTATTACTTATTACTTACTCCTAAGTCCTAATTTACTTACATTTTGAAAACTGAGTGGTCATTATTTTGTGGTAACATAATTGGCAATAGCTTGCAATAATTACACACATGTAGTTTGTTTAAACACATGTTATTTATTAATTTGTATTATTTGAATTAAGATGAGTTCCAATGAACAAAAGGAATCGAAAATCACCCTTAAGACAACAAATTTTTTTTGCACCACACCGAAGAAAGCAAAGATAAATGATGAAGCGAATACATCAAAAAATACAAATGTGAGATATAAAAAATTAATAATATTATGCTCATTTAAATTCTATTTGGCTTTTGGTATCAATGTATCATATGGTTTACTAAATTCTAATAATAATAATAATGTAGGTATAATGTTATCTATTATACATTTTCATGTAAAAAAACATAAAATATAACTATATAACTAATAGCCAATAGATTAATAGGTAATATATCTATAATATTATTTTATTCACTATTCAGTATAGCCGTATCCGTATGCCCGTATACTGTACCTAAAGGCAATATAATTATGGCTGCATACGAATGGCGTCCCAGAATACGAAAATATAAATCGCGATATCCGAGTTGCGTCCGTTGTTTTTGCACAACACATCCGAATTGCGTCCGCGTTTTTCTCGCGACATTTATCGGAGTTGCATCCCGATTAATAATTGATTAGTTGGTGAATATTATACATATTTTCCCTTCCCACTTTGACAGACTGAGGACTGTCATTTGTATAAATGGTAGTTAAAAATTGTAATTGTATATTATAAATTATTTATTGTTTTAAAATGTAATGTTGATTTTGTAAAATAATTGTTGTATATATATAGATTTGTTATATTAAATTTTTGAACGAAGTCAAAACGTGTTATATTTTTGTTTTTAAATTCAATCATAGTATTTTTAATAAATTCTTCTTTTTCTACATCCTCTCTACGTTTGTTTCCTAAATTTGAACTTCGCATTTTAATATAAATATCATTTTGAACATTTTTCAATACTTCAACAAATTGGAAAATGTTAGGTTATGACGAATAAAACATGCCATTTAATTTCGAGTGAAACGATTCACATGCGCTGGTGGCACGCATTAACGAGTTTAAAAACTCGGCCCATATTGATGGTTGAAATTTACTATCCAGCAAAATATAATTTTTTCAAAGTAATTAAAAAAATTATCAACTCTTTCATCGTTAGGTTTTATAGCCATTAGGTCTTCATAAAAACATTTATTAACATCAATACTATGATTAATAAAATTGTCGAACATGGAATGTCGAAGTGTGACTGTCGACTGTTGCATGATAAAATTTATAAAAAAATAAAATAAAATAAATTTTATCATGGACTGATGCTAACGCGAATAAAATTAATTTATAGATAAGATATCCATAATCGAGATTATCTACGAGTTAATCATCAAATATTATTCTTAGTCGTTGAAAAACCCGTGGACGCAATTCGTACATGTCGCGAGAATACCGCGGACGCAACTCAGATGTACCGTGACAAAACCACGGACGCAACTTGGACAAAATATAATTTAGGGACGCAATTAGAATGCGCCGATAATTATATATAATAAATAATAATATAAATATATATTGTAAGTTAAGGTTTCTTTTACCAAAATGAAATATTTGATAGTAAAAAGATTTAAAAACTGAAGTTAGTTGTTCCGAGTGTAGCGATTAAAAATATTTTTAAGGTACATACAAATTTTATTAGTGCGTATACCACTATACCCATAAATATATATAATCAACTAGCTGAATTACCCGACGTTGCCCGAAAACAAATTCATGACAAATAAGATAACGCCATGTATTACCATTTACCGTCTTAAATTCATAATTATTATCGATAAGACATATTAAGGTTAGGATACTAAACTTAAAAAATAAAACTACCTTTTTGAAAAGTAATTTTTATTATTTTGGAAAAATGCTACATAACTACCGATTAACCAATATTTCTTTATAAACTATATTATTAGTTTTTACACCAGGGGCATATATATATAAGTTTTTTTCTGAGCTTGCACGGGAGCAGGCAACATACAATTGTCCGTGAGTGAAGCAAGGATCGCTGATGTCAATTCCTGCAACTTTCATTGTCTGTCCTTGTGCCTTATTAATTGACATAGCAAAACAAAGTTTAACGGGAAATTGGACACGTTTAAATTCGAAGGGGTACTCGTTTGTTATCATTGGTATTCTTGGGATATATACGATTTGACCACTCGCTGAGCCGGTAAGAATTTCAGCTTCAATAAGGTTTTTTTTCAAAGATAATATTTTTAACCTCGTTCCATTGCACAATTTGGGAGTATTATAATTTTGCATGAGAATAATAGGCGCACCGATTTTTAAATCAAGTTTGTGTGGGGGGAGGGGAGACCTGATGGTTTTAATGAGTTAAGAAATTCAGTCGGGATATCTATAGCTTCATCTTTATTAGTAAGTGTATCTATGGAAATATAGTTTTTTATCAGCTTCTAACATGGAAAAACTTTTTCGTTTATGATGTTGACGGTGTCGTTTTTAGGGGCCCGATTTATTGGATTTATACGAATTATTTCTATATGGAACATATATTGCAAATCATATAGTATTTGTTTATCTGTATTGGGAGCAATAGACAAACGCCTTTTCACTTCATTCTCTGAGTCACCCATAAAATATATCTGTAAAAACGTTGGTTCTTCTGTACCGGTGGGTTATAAAGAACCAACCAAATGATAGACTTGACCTTGAACTTTAAATGTTGGCATGAAATTTCCATGTCTATTTTCTGTTGCACCAAACGATGTCATTTGGAAAGCCGAATTATAAACACGTATCATGTCAAAAAAATGTTTTGAATTTTCACTAGAAAAATTTAAGAGACTTTTTAAGGGTTCAGGTGGATCAGAAATGTCTTCCAAAACAACTTTTCCTTCTGAACAGCAAAAACCTGCAGGCTCTTTGGACCATTTCAAGGCACGACAATAATTAATACATTTTAAATTCATATTTCCTATGATAACGTGAGAATCATTTTTATAATCTATTAATTGATCATAACTATTCATATAAGTAGGTAAATTTCACGGCGACGTCATGGAACACGTCGTGGTTCAACTAAATTTTCGTCAATAGCGAAATCGTGAATATTATTGTTATATTACCACAGAATAATTACTATCATTAAATGCAAAGTTGTTATTAATATTGTTTTCATTAATACTACCAACACTATTGGTAATAGATATATTATTTATATTATCATCATTATTATCGCTGTTACTATTGCAGTTATCTGGCGAGCCATTGTTATTTTGACTTAATCTGAGTAAACGTTGACGTTTTATTATATTCGATGAGCGACCTAAATTAATTTTCCTTTTCATTGTGATAAATTTTAATAATTTTAAGAAACGAATAAAAATTTAAAAATTATAGAAATTAAATTAAATTAAAATTAACTTATTATTAGTACTGTTTACTATTTAAATGCAGGCATCTTGAATATTCGACAATACATCGATACACAAACATTAAGCAGCGTCCCGAATTTTACGAAGCTTCACTTAAAATGTCGGTCGGTCCGTCCGTAGCCTACAGAACCATAATGCGGTGAATTGATAACAAATCATCTATGGAAAAATTGCGTTGCTCATGCGCATATCGAACACAATGATATCGGCAACATATTATTTTAGCAACTCTTAATATTCACCACGAAGTTGAAGTTGAGGAAGTAATCAAAGTATTGGCAAAACAAAACCGTCGTACTGACTTTATCTTATAAATAAGTATTTTGTAATCATGTTTATATATTCATAATATATATATGATGTATAAATGTTTTATTTTATTTTATTTGTGTTGACTATTTTATCATAACATAGTGGTAGATGATTTTTTAGTGACGAGCAAAAAAACAAAAAAAAGGTAAATTCATGTATATTATAATGAAGTATGTCCCCCCCCTGAAAAAAAATTAAAATTAAAAATGTAAATCATTTTAATGCCTTTACCAAGCTATATATTTATCAATACTGCATATTGTAGGTTAAGGTTTCTTTTACCAAAATGAAATATTTGATAATATAAAGATTTAAAAACTGAAGTTAGTTGTTCCAAGTGTAGCGATTAAAAATATTTTTAAGGTACATACAAATTTTATTAGTGCGTAAACCTATAAATATATTTACCAATACACCACTGTTTATTATACCTATTTTTATTTTAAAGAGAGTTATGAGTATTTTAAGTTAGGTATACAAACAATTTATAATTTTAAAATACTTATAACTCTCTTTAAAATAAAAATATAATAAAAAGCCCATGAGAATCCCTCCATAATAATCTTACCTTTAATTGTAATAAGAGGTCAATTCAATATTAATTTTTAAGCTAACAGAACTAAACGTGATCTGCTGAACGTAAAATGTGATATGTTATGCTCTTGTAAGACGGAGACTACACATGCGGGTATACCGTCCTCTTAATTTTATAGCATAAGTTAAAGAGTCTTAAAAGGCAATATACCATAAGATCTATGAATAACATGGCTGTAAATGTTAACGACGTTAACGTTTATATGTTAAATGTTTATGATCCACCGATCACCATCCACTGACTGACCCTTAAAAATTGAAACCGGATAACTTAGAAAACGGCAAAAACTTATTGAACAAATTTTAATTTAAAATTAAATAGACCAATCATATACACTATCGTCTATCATTAAAATCCGGTTAATAAATATCAAAAAAAGGTTTTGTTATTCTCAATACAACAAATACAACGAATACGAGATCAATATATAGAAATATCGAACATGGACCAGGCTTAAGAGACCATTATAGGCCTAGAGTCCTGATTTGTATGCACTCAAAAAGGCCAAAATAGTACGCATTTATGCATCAAAAAACTTCAAAATATGCACTTGATATGCTATTATTTTTTTAATAATATGCAAAAATATGCTCTTATATCCAAAATATATGCATTTTAATTTTTTTTTTAAATTTCTTCCATAAATAATAATTCAACAAAATTAGATAAACTTAATTTTTTAACTATAGCCATTGTCTTTAAACATTTATTAAAGAACAGTAAATATTTAATAAAAAGTAATCCATGTTTTTTATTAAAGTTGGAATAGTGCTTCGACTTTTTGGCATTTTAAAATTTATAAATTGTAATGAAATTAAAATTTTAATTTATAAATTTACGGAACGCGAATTACGAAATGATAAATGGGCACTAGTGCACAATTTACTGGCGATAACATACGGTGAATAACATTTATTTCCCAACAATATGTAATGAACTAATAATTTCAACGATGAAATTGAAACAAAATTATTGGCTTAATAAACTTTTATACATAATATGCAAAATTTTTCAAACATGCAGTCATCTCTAAAATATGCATTTATATGCAAAATAAACATTTTTCTATGCATTATCTGTTACACAAATCGTCCATATTTCTTACTCCCATCGAAATGCATACGCTCATTACAAATATGTAAATGCATACAAATCCGGACTCAACGATTATTTATAGCTAACTATTAATTGGTTAAGCTCGTGATTTTTCGTGCAACTCAGCATTTGTCTGAGATCTTTATAATGTGAAACCTGACTTAAACACTTATCGAAACCCCAACAATATTTCCAAAACAGTTCATAAGTATTTATTTTTTATTTTTAATTAATTAATTAATA